CTCTTCATTCTGAATGCGCTGGGGAGCCCGGGGAGCTGCTAAGGGACGCGGCCTCCACCTGACTCGCAGCGCTGAGTGTCCACCCCTGCCCAGGCCTCTTCTGTCAGCCAGAGCCGGCTCCACCTGTGCCTTCCTCCCCAGGGCTAACCCAGCCCCTGCCCTGCTGGGAAAGGAGCCCCCACACCCTGCATGCCACAGCTCCCAGCACCCACTCAGCAGCTGTTTGCTAATCTTTCTTGGACGCTGGGACAATGAAGAGAATGCACCAAGTGTGTTTTGCCAGAGGGTGTCAGAATTCTTTCACAAGGTAACTTCCACTCCTGCCCACTGTGACTGTGACTGTTGGGGTGGTAGGGTTCTCTCCTTCCCTTAGAGGCGAGGCCCCTGGAACGCTGGGCCCAGGGAGGCAGTGGTGTGGCAGTTGTGGCTCGCAGAAATGGATGTAGGCAGAAAAGTGCCATCCCTGCTGCGTGCTCACCAAGGCTGCACTCAGGTCATTTTGTTCAGCGGCGCCAACCAGTGGGCCGTGAGGTCCGAAAGGTTGGTGGCCGCTGGTTTAGTTCACTGAGTCTCCGGTGCGAGCGCAGTGACAGCCGGTCTGTGCGGACTTGGCTGTAAAAGAAGGAAGTGGATGCTCCGAGTTGCCGTTAGCAGCGAGCTGCACTGTGCGTAGTTACGGTTTGAGTTACGTTGACCTTTTCCCTCTGTCAGTGGAGAAACATTTTCTCTGGCGTTAGAGTGCACACTAAAAAAGAGTCTGAATTATTTTTTCAAAACTGATTTCATTTCTGCCGCAGCGGGACCAGGGCTGTGGCCTGACTGCGCAGTGCCAGGCCGCGCGCTCACTGCAGCCAGGCGAGCGCAGCTCTTGGAGCCTGGCCCTCAGCCTCGAGTTGTCCTCTTGGGAAACTAACTGACCTTCTAGGATGGGGGTCGGGGCCGTGGGGACCGAGTGAGCCTCGGGACAGGGGTCAGGGGCCGTGGGGATGTCGCTGTTGCATACAGTTCTGCCTAGTGGTGTTTTTGAGCTGGTGTTATTTTTGTAATTTACGTAGAGAAGTGACACATGGATAATATAAGGAAGTGCTATAGACGAGTAGTGCCTCATTTTTCTGGAGAAAAGACTAGAAAATATAAGGTGGAAGCAGGTTCATCTTTGGGTCAGTTTTCTTAGTGCCTGAAAGCAAATGCCAGACACTGGTTCACATCACTCATCTCTTAGGTTTTTTAAACTATAGCCTAGGTTGCTTGTTCTGTGGCCTTGGCTCCTAAAAAAAAACCCCAATTTAATGTTTTTTTAATTTATAAATAATTATTTTTCAGGTACTAAGGAAATACTTGTTTATGGAAAATCAGTAGAACCAAGTTTAGAAAAGAGAGTCATAATTTTGCCATCCAGAGATAAGGGCCTTAATATTGAGCATATTTCAGCGAGTCCTGCGGGGCTTCTGCCTGTAGGCCCCGCGCGGCCTGTCCTGGGCATGCTGCTGGAGCCCGCGGCCTTGTTCACGCCTGTCTTGTTTTTCAGTGGACGAGTACATCGCCATCGCCAAGGAGAAGCACGGCTACAACATGGAGCAGGTAACGACGCCTTTCTTTTGTTGTTAGAAACGGGCTTTGGAGCAAGCCAGTAGGTGTGGGGGGGGAGCGGCCGTGTCCCCCCAGCAGAGGGGCTCTGGCCCCTCCCACCGCAAGGAGCCCCGGGGTGGGTGGCGGTGGACGGCCTGTCCCGCGGGGCTGCAGGGCAGTGGAGGCCGCGGTGCGGGATCCTGGGCACATGCTTTCTTACTGACCGTGTGAGCTGTCCTTTTGTGGCTGTTGATGGTGTTTCCCGACTCAGGCTGCCACACTTAAACCTATCGTGTTTTAATGTTAATTGTTTTGAGTCACTTTCAGGTGTAAAATTTGGCTAAGGCTTTCATTTAAAAATTGTTCAAAGGCTGTTTTAAAAGTTTCTAATCACTGCTTTAAAAGTGAGCACGCTAAGCTGGGTTAGTGCTTTCCTGGCATTGATCTACCGTATTTGCCGGCGTATAAGATGATTTTTTGGCCCTGAAAAATATGCCTCCAAGTGGGGGGTCGTCTTATACGCCAGGTACCCTTCAGATAGACTGCCCATAGTGCTTGCCCCGTGCCATAGTGGCCTCCCGATGCCCGCCCACTTCATTCCACATACCGTTCAGGCATCAGCAGCGCTGCTGGGTGTATGCTCGGCTGTTATGCGATTTTGCTGTTATGCGATTTTACCACACTCGCAAAATCGCACACAGCCGATCATACACCCAGTATGATAGCGCAAAATCGCGAATCGCGATACCATACTAGGTGTATGGTTGGCTGTGTGCGATTTTGCGAGTGTGGTAAATTCGGGTTACCGTATATTTCTTTATATATGCATTGAAGATTCGCGATTTTGCTATATCATGGTGCCTG